GACTTGTGGAGAGAAGTTCTTTCCGCACGTGTTGACTTTTTTCTGCACGTGCAGTAGAACCTCAGAAATCGTGCTACTGTTTTAAACCTGTTTGAAAGACAACAAAGGTATGAAAAGGCAAAAAAGAGGCTGGAATAGGGTTCGGAAATTTTGAAGGAGAAAGAGGAGGCTAGGGTTTGGAAAAAGGTGATTCTCAATCTTCAAAGCAAATTCCCATAGAGGGTTCCATCTCTTCCACGCCTTCCCACTCCTCCATGAGTGGTTAGGCTCTTCTTTTCTAGGGTTTTGATGAAACCCTAGCTACGTAATTGGGTTTTCTTTTTGGTTTTTGATTATGTAAAGGTTTGAACAATTATATGATATTTTAGAAGTTTCATATACATATTTTTCACTATTTCTTCAAGTATTCGACTTTCTGTGATTGTTGAATGCTTTTTATACAATAGTTTTCTATTATTTCATATTCCTGGTATGAGACGAACCATACTAGGAAGGACGAGTCGTGTCGCTACCCTAGTTTAGAGCGAACAATTCGTACTACTTGAAATGGTTCGTGCCCGTACATTGAACATGATGATCTTCTTGATAATGCTTCGAACTTGTAGTTGCGAAGTATTATTCCGTTCGAACCGTAGCATAATTGATTTCAAATTGAAACCTTATTTACGTAACTATTGGTGAAATCATTGCCCTAAGTTTTTTCCTAAATCAGTAAATTCATCTTTATTTATAATTGCTAGTTTATTCGCTTATTTAATTTAATTATTATTAGGTTATGAACAATCAATCTTTTTATCAAAATTAATTTAGGAATTTAACAATTAAATTAGTTTAATTTTCAAATTATCCCTGTAGATCGATACCTAGACTTACCATTATTCTAAGGAATTTGATATAGTTTAGTGTTTAATTTTGGTGTGTGAAACGACCCATCAGCAATGGGAAACGCACCTCCAGCACAACATCCCCTCACCACCTATCCTTCCAAAACCGAATTCTCTTCCCATTCCCCACCCAAAAATCCACCCTCTTCCAAAACTGACCCCTCCATAACCAAATCCCTTTCCACAAACCCCTCCCATGAGATCCCATCACATTAACCGTCCGCCAATACCCTCATTCACACCAAACTTAGTAGCAATCACCTTTCGCCAAAGTCGGTTTTGTTTCCACACGAACAGCCAAAACCACTTGCCTAATAAAGCCCTATTGAAAGTCACCAAACTCCGCACCCCAAAATCACCCCCCTCCTTTGAACAACCAATCCAATCCCATGCAACCAAATGATAGCGAAATTCCTACCCTCCACTCCCTCACAAGAAATCCCTCTGAAGCTTACTTGAAGTGATTCTTTCGAGCATTCATCGAAAAGAGGTACTTGTTTCGAATTTAACCAATTGAGATATCTGGAAATAATATATTTTTATTGTTATTTCTTCATTCGAATTCGAAGTGGATTTTCATTCTATTTATGTATTCTTTCTAGATTCAAGTACTAACCACAAAATCACAAATAAAAAACAATAAATATATTTGATGCCTTGTAATAGAACTTATGCTTGATAGAAATATTAAATTGCATAGAGTCGGAGAATGAGATGGGTTCATTAACAATTCATAAATAAAAAATGGCAAAAAAGAAATATTTCACTCCTCTTCTCTATCTTGCATCTCTAGTATTTTTGCCCTGGTGGATTTCTCTCTCATTAAATAAAAGTGTGGAATCTTGGGTTATTAATTGGTGGAATACTAAGCAATCAAAACTTATTTGAATGATATTCAAGAAAAGAATATTCTAGAAAAATTCATAGAATTAGAGGAAATCCTCCTCTTGGACCAAAATAACATGCACCGACATGAAGTAGGTCGAAATACTACTCAACACACTCTTAATCAAGGTCAACCTCCCACCCTTTGACAAATATTGCCTCTTCCAACCTGCACCTGCTCAACAACACCATCCCACACCCTTGTAGCCTTGAACGTAGCACCCAACAACAAACCCAAATAAGATACCAGCAAAGCCAACACCTTGCAACCGAAAATAGCTGCCAGCACCGGTACTCTGTCAACCTCACCTGCTGGGGTCAACTCAAACTTACTCAAATTCACCCACAAGCTCGAGACCACGTCAAAACACAGCAAAACACAATGCAAATAACCCAGTTGCTCCACTTTGGCCTCACAAAAGACTAAAGCATCATCTGTATACAATAAATGTGACACACCAACCATGCCCCTAGCCAAGAAGCCCATCGAAAATCCGTCCAACGTTCGTTAACCGCCCTCCACAATAATCTACTAAAGGTCTCCATAACCAAAATGAACAACAAGGTGACATTAGATCTTCCTGTCTAAGGCCATGAAACATGGGAAAGAAACCCGCCGGAGTACCATTAATCAACACAAACATCCACACTGTATAGATACAAAACTTCATCCACTGACACCACTTCTCCCCGAAACCTATCCGACCCATAACATAAAAAAGAAACTTTCAGTTTACATTGTCATAGGCCTTCTCAATATCCAATTTACAAATCACACCAGGACACCCTTGTCGAATCCGAGAATCAACATATTCATTAGCTACCAATACTGCATCCAAAATTTGTCAACCCCTTACAAATGCATTCTAAGATTCAGAATGCATATCCCTCTTTCCCATCCAGCATTTGAATTTCTCGCACAACCTCCCTGTTCCACTTCTTCAAATCCTTTTTCAGTATTTTAAGTTTCTTAGCTAACACCATCTGAGAGTACCATCCACTATGTATCCATACCACTAACTCTGCACTCTGTTACGAAATCTGTAAGTTTGGTTCCACATGTTTTCAAATTTGAAAGGCCTCCTCCCCTCCCCTTACTAATACCCTGCAAACCAACATGATGGGACAAAGATCTGACACTAGTTGTAGAAAAACTAATTGCACTACCTCATAAAAGTGCTCCTGCCAATCAGCTGACGCCAAAAATTTGTCAATACAAGACATGAAAATCTCCTAGTTAGTAGACCAAGTGAAGGACCACTAAAAGTGGGAAGTCCATAAAGCCCAATTCATCAATAACATCAAAGAACTCACGCATGAGTCTAGTGATGCGCATGCAACCCAACCATTCATAACAAAAACGTACAATGTTAAAATCATCCCAATTTCCACACACACCAAGGACTATGCCATCTCAAGGCAATATCAGCAAACTCTGTCCACATATCCCTCCTCTTTGCACCATCCACCAGTCCATAAAATGCCATGTGAAGTATCCTCCAGAAACCTTAAAAAACTAGAGATAGAGAATCCACACTTTTCACAATCTTCCTGATCCAAGAACCAGTCCCACAACAAAAGAAAATACCATTGGCATTGCCTACTGCACCTAAAAAATCCCATTTCACGAATCTGCCATCCCAAATACTTCTTACAACCTTTAACCCTACTTCTTCCATCTTTGTCTACTTCTCACAACCTCTAACCCTACTTCTTCCATCTTTGTCTCTTGAATACAAATCAAATCCACTTTCCTATCCTTCAATAAAGCTTTCACTGCCAATTGTTTCTCCAATGCATTTAGCCTCCTCACATTCCAACTAATAATTTTAAGCTCCACGAAAACATGAATCTTAGCACCTCATATATTGCATAACCAAAATAGTGATTTCCATGTAATTTATTCTGCCTTCTTCGATTCCACTATTAACTTGCTGTCCTAAGCCACTAGAAAGCCTCCTAAAAAGGGCCATCAGAAGTTGGGCATGCCAAAACCCATCACTTCTTAAGTTGGAGCCTTCGAACAAGCACCCTCCTAGCACCAGCCCCCTTTGAAAGAGGCCATTCATTTAGCCACCCATTACTTGCTACCACCTTGACTATAATTTTGACACTATCCTTGCTTGCTAGCTTCGGGCACCTATCCACTCCATCTCACACCTGTGCCTTCATTTGTCAACAGGTTTTCTTTTATTATAATAACTCACGAACAGGAATTTAGTCAGTTCTTGTACAAGAAGAAGAGAGAAAGAATCTTAAAATCCCACCAAGTGTTCCTAAAGAATCAATTCCTAAGGTAAGAACACTTCAAGCATCATTATAAACTTCAATAGCTTCTAATAAGTTCTCATAATTCAATTCGATTGAATAAAAGGAGTACATGCACATTTTGTAGGTTGACAACATCTTGTAGGTAGATAGGTTTCCCAACACTATAAGCTTCTCCCGGTACAAGAAACACAACTTTGGGAGAAAAATAAAGTTTTTATGCAGAGCATTTAAATACAAAGGAGGAAATCAAAGACTTAATACTGCAGTGGACACTAAAAAGGACCAATAAAAATGCTGAGGTTTAACAGAATCACTAGAGAGAAATTTAAAACATACAACAAATGTTCTATATATATTCTAGAACTTGGCAAAAGCAAGAGAATGTTACGAGTCTAGAAAAAGGTTTAAAAAATCAGAATTTAGCAAACAACATTTCCAAAATCATGATTACACATTGTTCAGGAATTCTGAAAACATCCCTAAAATGAAAGAAAACATAATAGGGAAAAAATTTCCAGCATACTTCCTACAGAAAATACTATGGGTAGTTTTTTAAAGGAGCAATGCTTTTTGAACTTATTGAATCCATCGTTTGGGCTTATAATAAATTAGAAGTTGCTCCCATGGGCCAAAACCAATTTACACGGTCAGCCATAATTGATCCCTCGTGTAGAGCTTGCATTATTGAGAGACTAACCATATTCAACCACATATGCCAACTTCAATATATATTTCAGCTTGCACATCATTTTAGTGTTTCAAGTGTTACACTGCCCGTCATCATCCACATGATCTTCTTACTTATCTCAGTCTCAAATATGATTCTTATTAGGCACTACCCATTTTCAACATTTTTTGGAAGCTGATAATGAGGTTAGTTACGAAATAACCATGTAATGTTCAAGAAGAAATTAAGCTGAACAAAGTTCAACCCACAATTGCATGAACAACTCTACACACCTGGCTTGCTTTGCACATGTAGCTTGAAAGCACCAGAACTTCCTCAAATGCAATTGCTTTGTCAATCTTCCCGCCAAATACGCCCTCAAATCTCTATGAAAAAGGAATGCCATAACCATTATTATCGTCCACAAATTATGATACTATTAACACAAATCATGAGAATACACAACAAAAAGAAATAGTAACCCACCTTTAGTTGGATTACAAGGACATTAGGTGCTTGAAGCAAAGACATCTGCTTTCTTGCTGTCACCAATTTCTTACAACTAAACAAACATAAAATTCATAATTATAGAAACCTCCGCTTCAAAAAATTTCAAGACTGTTATAGAGAGAGAGAGAGAGAGAGAGAGAGAGTTACTTCTCACACTTGTATTTATTGTTCCCATCCAAAACCTCAGCTTGAAAAAACTTCTGCATAGACTCTTTCAAAGAAGTGCTATGCAACACATCAAGGCTTATATCCATGATCTCATCAACCTTATTCGACTCCGCACCGCAATTTAAACACTTGACCTGACTCTGCAAAGCACCCCCAAAAATCTCCTTAACCACAGTACCACCGCCGAAACCCTCATCCTCGCCGCCGCCGCCCTTCCGCCGCTGCTGCAACTTCTTGAGGCGGAGACAGGTGTTGTGGCAAGCATCAATAACATATCTGAGGAATTCATGAGCGTCCTCTTGTCTTCCGAATCGAAAATGCTCAGCGAAAATTCTCAAACAACTGTTCATCTTGGCAGGGGTGTCTAGGGTTAGATCAACACTCAAAGATCTGGCAATTCGCTTCTCTAGTATACAAAACGGACACTCCCGTATCTCGGCCAAAGCCGAATCACCTGCAGAGAGATGGAATGGAAACCATTAAAAAAAAATTTAAAAACAAAATTGAATTTAGAGAAAGGAAATTGGAACATACAGGAGGAGGAGTGGAGGGAATTGAGGCAGAAAGAGGCGAGGGGAGGGGTGTAGGTGAGGCACTGGAGGACGGAGTTGAGGTAGCAGGAGTTGCCCAGGTTTTTTAAACCTAGGGGAGGACCAGACTTGCGCTTGTGATGGAGGAGGTTCGGTTGCCACTGCCAACTCATTTGAAAGGCCATTAACGACCTTCTTCCCAAGATAAAGATGAAGATGGTGATGATTCCGACGAGGCATCAGCAACATTGGATCGCATCCTCTCTCTCTCTCTCTCTATCTCTCTTTGTTCTTCCTCTTTTCTCTCTCAAGAATGAAGAATGGTGTTGGGAAAGGGGGGAGGTTTGGGGAGGAGGTGCTGGCGGCGGCGTAGTGGTGGTTCGTTGGAGTTGGGAGGACTAGAAGAAGTCGTCGGGTTGGGGGTACGGGGATTTGGTGTTCAAATCAAATCACAACACTACTGTAGATTTGGGTTTTTTATTACGATGATCAAAATGTCAAAACGGGGAAAATGGGGCGATCCAGTGTCATTTTATAATAGTATTTGTGTAAACTTTTTTTATTGGAAATAAGTTTTTATAAAATTATCATTAAAAATATTTTTTTATAATTATTTTTTTATATATTTTGTTAATAATTAATAATTAATAATTTTTTTGATCACGATTTTTATAAATTGTTATCAAAAGTCACAATTAATGACGTTTTTCTATGATTAATTTTTTAAACTGTCACTGAAAATTAAAAATTAATATTTTTTGTGATATTTTTTTAAATGATCGCTAAAATTTATAATCAGTGATTTTTTATAATAAAATTTATAAATTGTCACTAAAAATTAACAATTACTGATATCTTAATATTATTTAATGAAAAACGCTACTAATTATTATAAAACTTATTAGACAGTAATTCACTGACGTATACGTAAGTTACTCGGTATATTTCTCTAATTTTTAAATAATTTATCGTCGAGTTTAATTTTTTTTTAAATAACATAATTCTACATACAAAGAAAAATACACGCGACAAATTATTTTTAAAATTTTATATTAACCAATAAATCACACATGACTATTAAAAAATCTACATACCCAAAAAAATACACACAACAAATTATTCAAAAAAAAAATATATCTCATTGAACAATGAATCCCACATGACTATTTGAAAAAAAAAAGAAAAAGAAAAAAAAGACAAACAAATAAATGTATGATCTACGGTTTCACGTACATTTTTCTAGAATTGTTCTTCTAGCAAAAGGAGTCATGCCAATTTAGAAAAGGAAAAAAAAAAAAAAACATTTAATTTGTTTAGTTTCAATTTTCTAGAAATTGAATTTTTTATTTTTTCGTATTTTTTTTTATTTTTAGTGAATATTTTAAAATTTTTGAGCAATTTTTTTACTTTTTTAGATATACCTTATTTAGATGTATCTAAATAATAAAATATTTATGCAAAAATATTTTTAAAAAATAATAAAAACACAAAAATACAGAAAAAAAAAATACTGAATTTTCATTTTTAAAAAATATTTTTGGTATTTATTAAATTTTTTAATGATTTTTTCACGAATATTATACTTTTTAAGTGTAATTGTGTTAGGTGTATCTAAAAATTTAAAAATTACTTAAAATATTAAAAAAAATCAGTGAAAATTAAAAAATATAGAAAACGAAAAAATAAAATTTTTGAAAAGTGAATTCTGAAAATAGAAACCAAATAAAGTGATTATATTTCATTTGTATAAATTTGGATTTGCAATTTTCCTATTAAACTTTTACCAAAATTCCATTTCTACTTCTTACTTTTGAAACAATATTGTTTCAAATGTTGTCATTCCATGAGCAATCCTGGTCGCTAAATTGAACAAAAGCTATGTACATGAAAATCAATGTCTTGAATAACAATTTCAACCTCTAAATTTTATTTTAAATTTCTAAAGGCATGTTTGATTGGATGGATTAGAGTATGGGATTGGAATTGTTAATTCGTGGGTCCAATTATCCTATGTTTGTTTTAACATTTTGGTTTAGTGTTATTAATCCAATGGATAATTAATCCAACAAATTTGTAGGATTATTAGTAATGGGGTAGGGATGGGATTATTAATCTAATGGATAATTTATCTTATTAATTTAATTAGATAGTGAATACCACACTAATTTTTTGGCAAGCTGATATGATATATACTAATAAAATTTTGAAATTTAAAATGGTACATAATAAAATAATGGATAAATTACAAATACATTTCGTGAGATTTGTTTAAAATACGAATTGTCTCCTATAATTTGAAAAATCACAAATACATTCCTGTTAAAAAATTTTATTTAACAGAATTAATTGAAAAAGTAAAATTTCTAACTGTTCACCTATACAATAATAAAATTATCTGAATTATTAATTGAAATAAAATTTTAATATTATTAAAAACTATTAATTAACCTAATAATTTATTAATAAAAAAACTTGTTTGTTATAAAATTAGAATCCTTAAAAGGTATAAGATAATTTCTAGAACCATAAAGAATAATTTATAATTTAAATAAACCTCAAAAAGTGAGTTTGTAATTTATTCTAAAATAATATAACACAAGCGTGTCCTCAATTTGTAAATTTTATTTAACTTACTTTGGTCAAATTACATGTTAGTAGCTTTGGTAGATATTATTGTTAGACCATCTCCAACGGTGAACCAAACCTGTCATCAAATTTAAAATTTGGTGAAAAAGTCACTTTTTTAAGTTCCAACGTTTTCACCAAATCGATATCAAATCTAGAATTCAGCAAAAATGGTACCAAACTGAGTGCAGGCGAAGCATTTCACCAAAACACTGTTCCTAACCGTTGGGATGAGACGAACGGGTCGACCATCCGGTTGACCAACCGGTTAACCAACCGAACCGGTCGCCCAGAGAAAAGTTCAGACAGTTCACAAAAGGTTGAAACCAGTCAAAAAAAAAAAAAAAAAAAAATTTTTGCCTAGGTGGTCGACCACCTGGTCGACCGGCGGTTGACCACCGGTCGACCACCAAAAGTTGAAAAAGTTCAAAAAAAAGGTTCAAACCGGTTAAAAAAAAAAAAAAAAAAAAAAAAATTTTGCCATTACCGGTTGACCGCCGGTCGACCGGCCGGTCAACCAACCGGTCGCCCAGCACAAATTTGATGAAACGGATTTGATGTTGAACCGTTGGAGCGCGAAGTATCAAATTAAAGAAATGACCCGATTTTTGACTCAGATTTGGTGAAACATTTGGTACACCGTTGGAGATGCTCTTATCCATTGTCAAGATTCTATTGAAGTCATCATCATGCGACTTCACTGTCTTCCACTTCGTCCTCGTGCCTATGAAATGTCTTATCACATCTTACTCTGGCCGAGTTCAAAAAACTATATATATCTTACTGCGGGCCTATTGTTTTAAAAATAATGATACAACATTCATTATCTTCACACACCAGAACGGTTAGTAATTTGAGAGAAAAAAATAATAATTTTAGCCAATAACTGCCCACTAGAGGTTCTGAGGGTCTCCCCAGTGGGAGTCCCAAGCATTATGCAATTTTTAAATAAAAACGTAACAGTAACAACTATAGGGTGCCTCCAACTTTCCCAAGCTAACTCAGCTTAACTTGTTAAGGGCTTGACTTGCTTACTAAAACAACTATGATCAAGCTCGAATATTAGACTCGTTTAATAAATAATCGAGTTCAAGCTCGAATAAACTCAACTCCATTATTTTTATTTAAATTATATAATAAATAATATATAGCAATATATAAATAATAACATGAATATATTATTTATGTATTAAATAATATAAATAATAAAAAATATATTATCGTCCAAGCTAAACCTCTTTTAATAAATATTATCAAGATAAGTCGAGTTCAATCCCAGTTAATTATTGAGTTGAGCTCTAATTAAATAAACGAGCTAGTAGGCAAACGAGTCAAACTTAAGCTCAGGAAAGCTCAAATCAAGTTAACTCGTTTGCAATCCTACTTTTGATTTTAAAAAAAAAAAAAGGTCTACAATACACACCCCATAAAAAGTACTACATGTCCTTTAAAGCTTTACTTGAATTTGAGTCATTAGGCCTTGTTTGGTAGAGTTTATGCAAAAAGTAATTATAGATTATAACTTATAGCTGTCGAAATAAGTTGTTAACCTGTTTGGTGCAGCTGTGGAATTATGTGATTTAAGCAACAGGGAGTAGTGTTAGTTGATTACGTGTAAATATAACGGTTTTGCTGGGCTGTGAATTGTCTTTTGCTCTTGTATGATATAAAAATGAATTATTTTGTCATTTTTTCAGTTTTAATTTTAAAAAAGTTATTTCATTTAATAAAAGTTAAAATAATAGTATTACAAAATTATAATTTTTCATTATAAATTATTAGTGTCAATTAGTGGCCTAATTAGCATCATTACTTTTTTATTTAATTTATTAATTCATTTCAATTAATATTAAATTAATATCATGTATTTATATTAATGTTGTGATGTCATTACTTATTATTTTTCTTTATGTTAATTTCAATTAGTTATTTAATAGAAGTTATAATATTTTTCTTTGTTATTCCATTTTTTCATAATTTGTTTTATTAATTTTGTAAATAATCCATTTTTAATAGAAGTTAATAGAAGTTTATAATTCAGTTTTATTTATAGAAGTTATAATATTTTTTTTTGTAATATCCATTTTTATAAATGTCCAGTTTTTTTCATTATCCATTTTTTATAATATCCATTTTTTTTTTTAAATGTCCAGTTTTTTTTTCATTATCCAGTTTTTTTTATTTTTTTATAATATCCGTTTTTTTATAAATATCCATTTTTTTTTCCTTATCAGTTTTTTTTTTCCTTACATTTTTTTTCATTAATTTTTTTTTTATTAATTTTGTAATATAATATCCATTTTTTAATAGCGTTAATAAAAGTTAAATTTGTTTTTATTTAATAGAAGTTATAATAGTTTTTTTATATATTAATTCTTGTTTTTATTAAATTTTTTTCATTACAATTAATAATATAACAATTGATATTTTTTATTTTTTATTTTTTTCATAACAATTAGTAATATAAACTGCTGCAATTTAATTTCTTTATTTAAATTGTGCAATATGCAATTTTTATCAATAATGTGTGAAATAAATTAAATGGAAGTTAATAAAATTAATTTTTTTTTTTTTTTTCTTCTTTTTTTCATTACAATTTTGCAAAATCCTAGATCTGATTTTGCCTTTGGCCTTTGCCTTTGCCGGAGCCAGAGTCAAAGCTGGCTTCATCCACTAAGTGTGTTTTGACTGAGAGTGTGTTGGACTGATCTGGGAAGAATCCAAATGGGTTGAAAGGTTTTGAAGGGGTCGGAAACGATTGGGTGGTAGAGAGACCACTAGAGGAGCTTGTCGCCGTTAACTAATATGGGAAGAACCAAATTCGTCATCGTTGGTAGTCAACGGTCGATTTTCGGCCGTGGACTCTTATCAAAATGGAGAGCATGACTGGCAAAGGACACGAACATGAAGTCGCCGAGCCCTCATCGCCGTCTTCCTCTGCTTGGTATCCACCATAGCCGACAACTCTGCTCTCTCTCTGTGGGTTTTTTTGTTGATCGTGTGTGGTTTCGAAGCTCGCATCTGACCGCCGAAGCCCTCATCCGTGCTTCCTCTACTTTGGTGATCGTTGTCTTCACCGAAAATCGCATCTAATCGCTGGAAATCGCCTTCTCTCTTTTCTCAGAATGAACATTGTTAGTCTGAACTCAGAACTGTGTTTATATACTGGCATTTTCGTAATTTCTTTAAGTTTGAGGGCATTTAAGTCATTTTGCCCCTCCATGATCAACTACACGCATAAGCTAAATTGATAAGCACCCTTAGAGCAACTTGAGTTTTAAGCCGAAAATGGCTTAAATTAAGCTATACTCTGCGTCTTATAAGTTGTACCAAACACACTAACATAACTTAATTTAAGCCAAAAGCTAATTTAAGTTGGAAAAAAATTTTACCAAACAAGCACATTAAGGAATGATTTGAAATGATCTAAATAAGTGTACTTTTTGACTTTTAATAAAATATGAGTTTAGTATAAATGAAATTTGAATGTATGTAATAAAAAGATTAATGTGACTTAAATAGGATAAAACTTTTTTAGCTTTTTGACTTTTTTAAATTTATAAAAATAACACCTAAATGTAAACTATATTGAATTGTAACTAACACAACTTCAGGCAAAACCAATGACCACTTTGATTTGTAACAAAGCTACCACAATACGACATGGGCCATAACCACTAAACATATTGGGAAGATTTTTAGCCAAAAAGTCAGTACAAGTTCACAAATTATTTTATTTACTTTTTTGCACATCTTTTCTTAAAAAAATTAAAAAAATCAATTCCTAAACGGCACCTTAATA